TGAAATTGAAAAAGGTTGGTAATTAAACAATGATGCATAAATAATGAAATATTTTAATTCCATATTTTACGTATAATATAGTTTTATTTTACTGTGTTTGCAGAAAGTGTCCAGATATTTTTTCATTTCTTTTCTTTAAATATAATTTTCTTAGTTTTGGTTTTTTGTCGCAAGCGCCCTTTCATCTAACGGCGGCAGAGTTGACAAGTCCCATATGTCTGTAATTTTATTAACGCCCTTACCCTTCGTACCGGAATATAGTAATGATCAAATTACAGGGAGAAATAGATAAATAGATATGGTAGAAAAGGTTTCCTTTGCCGAACTCTGTCACAAGGAGCTCTACTGCTACTTATGCAGTTCTACAGTACTGGGCACTTGCCGTAAGATTTTTTTTACTTGTTTTTTTATTGTGAAATTCAGTTTAATTTTTTTCCAATAAAACCTTGAAGCTTCGAAATAAAAAATCCTTTTTTTGTAATATCAAGTGACGGGACGAACAAGTCGTGCTACACGCCTGTCTATAACAGTTGCTGTGTCATTCAGAGCTTTAAACTGCGCCCGTCACCCTGATATATGAATTGACAAGTCCCATGTGCCTGTAATTTTACCAGCACCCTTCAAAACTTGAACGCAGTAATGCTAACATTACTGCTTGGCGGCAGAAATACATAAGGTGGCAGTGCTTCTCTAGACGAACTCTTTCACTGCCATAAATAAATAAGCCTGAAAGACGACTAGAGCTAAAGGTGATTAATGGCGAATTACTATGGTTTGATGTCATCATAATCAACCCATATAATATGTATATGTCATACAGGTTTCCTCGCGGGAGAGGGTTTTAGGCTATAGTCGGCCATGATGACTCAATGCAGGTTGGTCACACGTTTTCCGAGGGTCGTGAACCTTCTTTGACTTGCAGGTTTCATCACGGTGTTTTTCTTCACCGAAAATCTCATGGTTTACAAATCAAATTATGTGTTATCCATAAATAGAGCATTTATTATCAATAATAGATTAGAAAATCTTGTATGCAACAGTGTAAGTGCAGTTTTTTACACTCTTTTTAAATTACTCCAAATTACTCGTTTGATGTTCTTTGTTAAGCGACGATTTTGAACCTAAATATCCAAGAATTCAGAGGTGCGAGCCGGGATTCGAACCCACGGCCTCTGCATGTGACGCGGTAGGTCAAACCATTAGGCTACCACGGCTTTTTTTATGTAACCACTAACAATTTTTTTTCTGCGCCATGCCATTCGACAATGAGCTTTATTTTCTTTCTTATTCTTATTTTTTTGTTAATACCTGTTTATAGAAATAACCACTTTGTATACATCAAGGATAATTTAGTTTTGCTTTACTGTTATTTTTTCTATTGTTATAAATTTTATACCTTTCTTGACGTGCATTTTACATAAGTTACATACTTCCCAAGAATTATTTTGATTACGCAAATTGAAGTCAGAGTTGAACGATTTCTTCTGCTTTAAAATATGCATGGTTATTATCACCCTTACTTTTCTTAAAGATTGCTAAAGGTTGCTTCTGGCTAGGTACCATTATGTCTATATCGTATTTATGATATTTAATATAGTCTTCGCTGGTATGTTAAGTGTTTTACAGTAAGTACTACAGAGAATCTGCAAAATTTTGATTTTCAACTGTAGGTATCACAAGCTTTGTAGTTATTAAATTCACATCTAAATCAAAATCTGCAAATTGCAGATTCACATTCCGACTCCCCTCCAACATCTAACGGTTGGACGTGATTCGGGGATCCGAAAATGCCTGTATGCGTTTGCCTAAAAATGCCTAGTACGCCTCAAGTAGCCCCGTATTGTAGTTTTAAAATTATCGGTACCTATACATAGTGCCTGTAAATAATTCTAGGTTCTATTTTATATAAAGATATTTGTCGTATTGTTCAGCAACAAATAATTACACGGTTGTATAAACAAAACATAAAACGTCCACGTCAAGTCTATTAGACGTGAAACCACTAGTTGCAATCGTCCTAAAATATCTTATTTCGTCATGTCCAAATCGCATTAGAGTTAGCGTCAAATCGTGGTCCACAATAATTGCGCGGTTTACGCGGTGAATCAAGCTCCATTGCGGTTTTTCCATGCACACCAGCGACTTTTCTGTCGATGCGACATTCTAGTGTAGTTGCTTTTTCTGTTTAAAACGAACGTCGATTGTTAATTCTTTATGCGCCATACTGAACCAGTCGGTTTTTCTGAGGATACATAGTCTATAATATGCTAAATAGCAATAAATATCTTTTCGTCTCATACATTTACTTATCTTTAAAATTAATCATTTCAAAATTGACAAATTACCTATAATAATCTATTGATCAATTTATTTTTTTTCCTTTAATTGTTTGGTTAACTTGTTTTTTTATTTAGATTTAAAAGCCTAAACCATAACATTTAAACGTAGACGACTTAGCCTTATGAATCAAGTGGCTGAATTTCGATAATGAGTTTTGGAAATTTGGAAAGTTGTTTTAGCAGTGGTAACTTTACTATTTATGACTTCTATGCAATGTGTCAACATGATTAGATACCAAGATAGTACTACTACTATCTTGGTATCTATTAGTAGATAGACAGGGATATTTTTTATTGTTTTCTCATGACGATTAATGGAACAAATTCTCTCTCTCTTCTCAGCATTAATAATCCTATCTGAGAGTGGGGATCTGCTTTCTTTTTCTCGATTTTGCTTGGTTTTGAACGTGTTGTTTTCAGTAGCATAGCTCCTAAGATCATTAACGACGAAAGCTGTCCATCTCAACTTCGGTCTCCCTCGTTTTCGTTTTCTTATTTATTACGGCATTTCCAATGTAGTCGTTGGGTTTCCTTCTTTAAGATTAGACCAGTTCAGCGTACCCTTTTGGAGCTTATTAGCAATGTTGCTTACATATAATTGTTAATTCAACAACTGAATTGTAAATAAACAGACCTGTTGCCAAGTAAATATTTCAGCAGCAACTATTTCTGTGACAATCTTAAGGATTTGTTCCACAGAATTTGTCGTTGGTCTGCGCAGCCACAAAGTCCAAGAGTGAAAAGTAAACTGTCTGTCGCGCGGCATTCTAAAGACAAACGACGTCGAAACGAGCGACCGGTCATTAATCACAATTAGTGACGCCGCCACTGTAGACGCAGTTTAAGATCCGACTTTATAAATTTGTATAAACAAATTCTTGGAATTCTTGTTTTCTTTCCAGACTCTGAATTCTATAACATGTTCATGTCATAGAATTCAGAGTTGGTGTTACATTTCCTAAGTCGGTCAACTATTTTACCAGTTTTTGTGAAATCAAATTAACAGTAACATTTTTAACTGCCTCCGTGGCCGAACAGTTACCATGCCGGACTGCCATGCAGAGGTCCCAGGTTCGATTCCCGGGTCGGGAGAAATATTTGTATGGGCTACATTTATTTCTCTCGTGAGTTTGGGTGTAATTTGTGGTTGTCTACGTGTGTGTCCATGGCACCCGCGACACAGGGTTTCCCTAGTGCGGGGCTATGTTGAGTGTGTACGTTATTATTATTTACGTTGACCCCATAAAGATATTTTTTGAAAAACACACATGACAAATAATACGATTTTTTTAACTTACACCAGCCCAAATACGAAAGAATTATGATAAAATATGTGTTCAACAAAATAAACGAGCAACATCTCTAATGTTTGTTTGAAACTTTCAGAGCTTAACAACTTGATATTATTCTTGGAACGGGTACTGCTTACCCCTTTTGCTGCATCATTTGTCATTGAAAACTTTTCAACACTTTGGTTGGAAGGAGTTACTAATTTCCGGTACTAAGTATAGAGTACCGCATCACCTGTCAAAACGTCAACAGTTAAAAATGAACTGCAAAGAGCTGAAGCCACCGATCCGTGGCTAATTACCTACAGGCAATCAATCTTGTAAATTCGCTCCCTTACCTGAAGTCCCATTATTTTGCCGACTTTAATATTAGCGACCTGGGTCATCCAATTTCGCGGCATAAATTCGAGGCTCTGCTCGCAACAAATTGTCATTGTGACCGCGGTGCTACGAGGCTTAATTACTGACGCATATTAACGGATTTATGATGGCTGGCGATTATTTTGCAATTTACATTGTAAAAAATATTTTTTGGCTTTTAAAGTTTCGCCGGATTTCGAAATTATTTTTGTAATATGTGAGTCCTTTGTTCGTTACTCTAGTTTTGGGAAGAAAGACGATGAAAAGAATTGTTATGCATTTGCTCTTTATGGCCAGTATTAGAGATTGATATTTTCAATACTTTCTGAAAAGTAGTAACAGCGTAAATCTTCAAAGTAAAAGTATTATACATAAACAACATGTGTATGTGTATATTTACTTATATAATGAGGTACAAAAAGTTAGTGCTTAAAATAACTTTAGTGCCTTAGTGCCAGTGCTTCAGATCCACTGCTGCAAGTTGCTTCCTCCTTGGTGAGGGCAGATCGTTCCATACCCTTACCGCACTAAACCTGAAGCGTCGCATGTAGTAGATCGAAGACTCCTTTGCGTAACGTCCCTCAGACATGTGAGTTTTGCAAAGAGATACTCAGGTTCCTTGTTGCATACCACTCTCTGGACCAGACAAGCATACTGGAGTTCTCTTCTCGCGTTCATGTTGATGATTCCCTTTTTGTTCAAATATGGAGTGATGTGTACTCGCCTAGGTATATAGAAGGCAAAACGGACGCACGCATTTTGAACTCTCTGTTGGTTTTAAGTCTTATTCACTCATTTGCATTTCATTTTCATGTGTTTTTTTATAAAATTCTTTTCCAACGATAAAATGTCTATCTTATCGACAGGCCTGATAAAGATATGAAACATTAACAAAAAAACTGCTATCTATTAATCGATGTCGATTAAAGCATTATTTTCTTTTTAATTTTTGAAATAAGAATGATAATATTAAAATATAATTGATAGATTACATACTTCACAAATTAACGCCATTAGCAGCACTAGCGTTAAAACTTGTTCAAAATGTTAATTTTACTTTTAGTTTGTTCTTTTGGTGTTTCCGTTTTATCAGAGCCATTTAGGTACGACAACTACACATTGTACAAAGTGTATCCTCAAAATGAAGATCACGTTCAGTTCCTTAAGGATTTATACGAAAAAACCACACTTCTCGACTTTTGGACTGCTCCTGCTAGAGCAGGAGACTTCGTAAGTGTCGTTGCTCCTCCAGAAATGAGAGAAGACTTTGAACATTCTTTGAAGAAACGGAGCATTCATTCTGATGTTATGTTGGAAAATATACAAGAGTAAGTATTTTTATTAAGAACATGCTTAAGTTTTCTTCTTTGTAGTTTTATTTATGTCTTGTGTTTTATACGAGTATTATTTGCGTTATATATAGGTGGTAATAGTTTTACATTTATTTCATAAGTAAATCAAATTCATCCTGTATCTGCTGATTGGTATTGTTAATAACTTCAAAACCATAATTTTCTCACTGCCTACCTATCTAAATATCATTTAACCACTTCATACGTAAAATTGGACAAAGGAAATAGATCTGGCGCAAACATACTTTGAAATGAAATTTCAGGGCTTTCGATTCTCAAATCTACAGTAGACGAAAACGTGAAGCAAATGATGAACGTCTCTTCTGGACCAACTACCAGACCAGGGAAGAAATTGAAAGATGGTTCCATAGTTTAGCTAATGCTTATCCTAATGTTGTTACTGTTATCAGTAGTGGACGATCGTTTGAAGGTAAGGTATTATAGGACAATATTATCACCAATGTACGTACCTAATCAGATATAGAATCCAATTTGTTTGGTATCTGTGGTGCTATTATTTTGTTTCGTCCTACAAGTTATTCTGTAAAAAAGGTACAAGAATGCATGAGTGCGTAGCTCAGGTTGCCTTAATTATTCGTGAGTTATACATAGAAAATGCTACTT